GTTGCGGGTTCGTTGCCATTGAGCTCCCAAGGGTACAATGGCGATTGGTCATTGTCTCGCTTTACCTCAAAAGCAGCACTGGCCTTCAAACGGAACCCAACTCCACCATCCTGGCAGAAATGCTCGCACTGCTGCAGCGCATCCCCAACTGGTTGGTGGCGGGCGACTGGAATGTCGACCTCGACAAAGTGGCCAGCACCCACATACCTGAGACCGTGCGCGGGGTCCTCCTCGGAAGCAAAGAAGCGGCCCTGGAAGCCGGCAACACCTTGGATTACGTCCTTGCCAGCCGCTCCGTGGCGGGGTTGATCCACCTCAGGGTGGATAAGGTGGTGCCGTTCGCTCCTCATTTCGCTCTTATGCTGGAGGTTGACCTCGCACATGGCCTTCTCAGCCTGCCCACTCTCAAAGGCTTCACCAAGATGCCAGAGACACGCCCTGGCCCCCACACGGAAGCCTCGGGCGCAGAGGGTCTAGGGCCTACCAAAGGGACTGGGGCCTCCCCTCCCAACGAGGCTGCATGCTCCACCGTTTCCGCGTGCGCACTTCAGAGTGCCCCTCTGCGGAAACCTACCAGCCCTGAACTAGCGGTTGGAGGCGTGCCACTCCCCACGGACTCCGCCACCACGGCCTTTGCTGCCTTCTCGAGCTCCGTGGAGCTAGCAGTCTTTGGTCGCGTCCAAGGGAGAGGGGCCAACGTGCCTGTTGTTTACCAGCCGGTTTTGCAGGATACTCAACAGGCCCAACGGTGGCATGGGAAACCGCATGCTCTCCTCAGCCACATTGCGCGCTGCATCAAAGGCCTAGACCTGCAGCAGCCTGTTCCTGCAGATCTTCTCCAGAATGTTCTGGACTTCGTTGAAGATGGCAAAGGCGAAGAGCCTATTCCGGAGTGGGCGGAAGTTTTGGGTTTGGCTGACTGCCTCATGCCATCGACCCGAACCCGCCTCACAGCGGAGCAACGCGATTTCGTCTTTAACGCCATCACTCAGGAACTTACGCTCTGCCGGCTAAAGGTTAGCCGCCGCAGCAAGGCGGACTACGAGCGGTGGCTTAGCACCGGCAGTTGTGGTAGCTTGAAGCCTCTGTTCAAGTGCTTGCGCAAATATGAGGCCGCAGTGGAGCGTCCTTTCCCCATTTTCTCCGCAGCCAGCAAGCTGTTGCTTCGGCTACAGCAGTGGGCACAGCTATGGCGCAGCACGGGTGCTGCCCCTGACTCCGCTCACGATGCCCTCAAACAAAGAGCATGCGCTCAAGCCAGAGAGCTTCCGGCTCTTTCTGGCGAGCGCATCGCGCAGTACTTGAAGCGGACTCCGCTCAAGGCTCCTGGGCCCGATGGCTGGACAGCTCAAGTTGCCAGAGCTCTCAGTCAGGAGCAGTGCTGCCAACTCGCCGACGTTATGAGGAACTCTGAGCTCCAAGGGGTTTTCCCCGCTCAGTGGGCCGTCTCCTTGGTGGTCCTTCTTCCAAAGAACAGCGACATCGAAAGGCCCATAGCTTTGATGCATGTGTTGCTTAAAGCGTGGATGAAGCTGCGATGGTCGCTCCTCCAGCAATGGCAGGATTCGTTCGCTGCGGAAGCGTGGTGGGATTCTTGTGGCCCCGGTTTCTCCTGCCTCGACGTGGCGGTGCGACGTCTCATCCAGTATGAGTATACCCACTCCGTTTCGGAGCACCGTATTACTCTATATCTGGATTTGAGCTGTTTCTACGAAACAATCAGCCACGAGCGCCTCATCGCTCATGCGGATGCCGTGTCCTTCCCTCCCCTGTTGTTGTGGGGTGCACTCTGCGCTTACAAGGGCCCCAGGCTCCTCGCTGCTGACGGCTTGGTCGGGCCACCTGCCTTTGCCAGACGAGGGGTCCTCGCAGGGTGCCCGCTGGCTGTGGCCCTTAGCAAGGTCGCTCTCTGGCCTGCGTGCAGCCAAGTGCTCAACCAGAAGGCCGTCGACACGGCAGACACCTGGGTGGATGACTTGTCGGTGGACTTCTGCGGGACCAACCCTCACCAGGTTGCTGCCAAAGGCCTTAGGGTCGCTAAAGCTCTGTTCGGCGCCCTCGAAGAGGAAGGCCTGGAAGTCTCCTTCAAGAAGACCACCTGGATTGCCTCCAGCCCTGAAGTGGAGACCGCTCTGAGAAAGCAGGCCAAGGACAGCCCGGTCCAAGTGTCGACGGTTGCTAAGGATTTGGGTGTGGCTAACGCAGCTGGCAGAGCTCGGAGGGTGCAAGTCCAGACCAAGCGCCTTCGCAAGGGGGCCGCGCGCAGCTGCAAACTGCAGTCCCTCAGGGTTGGCAGGACAGCGCACAGGGTGCGCGTCTCAAAAATGGGCTGCCTCTCCGCCTCCATCTGGGGGCACCAAGGCCTTGGCCTTAGCCCTAAGCAGTTGAGAGGTCCCCGCACGCACGCGGCTCAGGCTGGCAGAAGGCAGCAGCTGGGCAGCGTCGACGTAGTCTTCAGCCTCGGTGAAGGCAACTGCAGCGACCCCTTGCGCACCGTTGTGTTGCAACACTGGCGGACCCTCCACAGGCTCCTCTTCGCCAAAGAGCTCCCTGACAAGTACCAGCGGCTTTGGGAGCTCACCTGGAGTAAGCTTGCGAGGGCCCCCAAGCGCTGGGCCTTGGTCAAAGGCCCTGTTGCGGCCATGGTCGCGTACTTGCAGGACCACGGCGTGAATGCCAGCAATGTGCAGGAGTGGAAGTTCCCGCCTGGGTCCTTGCGTGGCACGGGCCTCTGGAACTTCGGTGAGACCATCACCCTGCAGCCGGGGCCCTCGCTGGTTTTTCGTGTCGAGGAAGGCCTCAGCAGATTGCTCCAGCACGCGGCCAATCAGCGCATTGCCAAGCAGGATGCGGGCGAGGGGGCTGCTGACGGCATCGACTGGACGGTGCCCAAACGCCTCCTCTCCGGTCGCAGTCTAAGCAGCATGGCAACCTCATCGGGCTCCGCGCTGTGTGGCAGGGCGCCTTTTTCACCACCACCAAGGGCGCGAGACGCCAGTGCCCTCTGTGCAAGAAACCAGCTGGGTTGCGGCATGTCCTCCTTGATTGTCAGTGGTGGCAAGGACGCGGGTCTTCCCCTCCGCCCCACTGGACAAAGCTCCAAGCCCAATGGCCAGCTGAGTCCCTGTGGGTGAGAGGTCTTCCGCCTTTAGCTTACACCGAGGCGCCGAGCCTCAGCAGTGAGCAGTTACGGCCCCAGATGTCGGGGATCTGGGCCTCACCGCTGAAGGCGGCCGCGGGGTCTTTGGTTTTCGGTACGGACGCTACTGGCACCTCCAAAGATCCCCGCACTCGGGTAGTAGCGGCCGCCGTGGTGGCCTGTTCCCGCCGCGAAGGCGAGCTCGTCGAGGTCGGCCGCATCACCCAGGTCTTGCCGGCTGGGAGCAGCGTCGTCCAGGGCGAAGCCTTTGCTCTGGCGCTCCTGCTCAGGCACACCACCGGGACGATTGATGTGACCGCTGATTGTAAGCCGGCTATTTTGCAGGCGCAAAGCTCCAGCTTCAAGGCGGCCCACGCCAACATCTGGGAGGAGGCCTGGGAAGAGAGGCACCGCCTCTCCATCACCTGGCATCCCTCGCATAGGGAGCCAGCTGAGTACCTGGAGCGGTATGGTGATCAGCACCACTGGCGGGTCAAGATTAATGACCTCGCGGACCAGGCCTGCAAGGCAGCGGCAGCTGCGGTCCCCAAAGAGCAGCACGAGGCCCGTGTTGCGCAGGTTGACGAGCTCGTGGAAGAGGTTTCCCTCTTCCTGGCAAAGCGCGCGTGGCTCCTGCTCGCAGGCTCAGAGGCCCCTCCTCTGGACCTCAAGCCCCGTAACGCCCCTCGCACCAGCTTGCCGCCGAAGCCTCGCGCGCAGAAGACAGCCGCGCCGCGCCCCCCTCAGAGGCAGAACCGCCCAGGCCCAGGCGGAGGACTGAATAAAAAGCAAAGGTTGGAACAGTTGCTGGCCGGCGAGGCCACGCATGGGCACAAATTTGCTTAGTCCCACACTGACCCCAACAACCACTCCCTCAAGTGTGAGGTGTGCACGCTTTTTATTCAGCAAACCCACGCCCCGGAAGTCTTTAGTAAACTGGAGGCAATGCCCTGTGCACACAGGCCTTTGCCTGACATCAGTCACTACGGTTTCCACCCTTCACACTCCTTTTACTGCATGGGGGCGGTGCTGTTGTGCACCAAGTGCTTTGCGGTTCACAAGCCTGGCCAGGTCAGCCTGACCCAGGTGGCTAAGGACTACTGTGAAGGCGCCAGCAGGGCGCACAAAAGGCGGCGAGCTTACTGGGCACAGCGGTACCTTCACGAAACGGCTACCCCGAGCTCCCTCTTTGCTTCTGCACCTAGTGGCTCAAGTCAGGTTGGGAGTCAAGCCGAGGCCATAGCTGAGGACGCGCCCCGCTCGCAAGTGCTTGTCTCACCTCCTGCCGGCCAGGAAGTACCGCCAGCAGGTTGTGGTCTCCACACCTGCATGGGTTCAGCCCACCAAGGTTGCCACAAGTGCTCGTGGAGTGTCTCGACGAGGTGCTGCTGCTGGCTTGGGCCCCAAAAAACTGCAGGAGTTTTGGTTGAGCCAGAGCAGCCGAGTCCTGCTTAGGCTTGGCCTTAGGCTTCGGCTTCGGCGCGGGGGCAGAAAGGGGCCTACCAGGTTGGGCAACAGGAGCAGGAGACGACAAGGCAGACTGTTTCGCAAAGAACTTAACAGTAGCTGGGCCTGGAGCTTTGGGGACTGGAGCCTCGAAGGTTTTGGGAGCCTTAGGGGAGGGCTGCCGGTTACCCTTCCCCCCTTCCTTCAGACTGCTGCTCGAGTCACTAGATTCTACAGCCGCGCAGGTGTGAGAGCCACTACCAGCTGGCAGCGAGACAGACTGTTGACTGGGCTCGTCCCCAGGAGTGGGCTCTGCTCGACTCCTTTCAGCGGAGCTCCCCTACGTCTAAGCCCCCGCCCCTGCAGCTTTCCCCCCCTGAACCCTCGCAGCAGCGTCCTAAAGGTTCTGGAAGCCATGGCCGAAGAGGCAAGCAGGGAGCCCTCCCTAAAAGGGAAGGGCAAGGGGCCAGAGGCCACTCACCTAGGAGCCGGAAAGGGAGCCAGCCCTCCCAAAGGCCACCACAAGGGCAAGAGTAAGGCCAAAGGTGGCAAGGGCAAAGGCGGCTACAAAGGTGAAGGCAGCGGTAAGGGCACTCCTTCCGCGCCCTCAGCGGTGCAGCTCGACCCCCTCCTGGAGGGCGTACCAGCTGTACTTGCAGGGCCGCGGGCCGGGGCAAAACCGCGTCAGTAGGAACGCTTGGCTCCGCAACAACCTGCGCAACAACAGCGAGGTCCGTGCCCAGTTGCGGCAGCGGATGCAGGCGGCAAGCCAAGGCTCGCAGGGAAGTGAAGGCCCTGCCACCCCTGCAGCCAGTCCTGCTGGAAGCGGTCTGGGGACTCCCCACCGCCAGCCGCCGCCGCCGCTTAAAGCCCCGCCTCGACACGAGCAGGGGCGCAGAGTAGCGGCTGTGCCGGCGGCCGACACTGCCACTGAGGGCCCTGCGGAAGGCGAGGCCACACCTTGGGCTCGCAGAACTGCCAGGAAGAAGGCAGAGGCCGCCCCAACTGGAGCCCCTGCGGCTGGCCCGCCAGAAGAGGGCATGGAAGTGGACACTTCCGTGTCCGAGCTGCCAACAGCCACCCAGGCTGCACAAGCCTCTTCGAGCAGTTCTTCCAGCTCGGAAGAGCAGCAGGCGGCCAAGAAGGAGACTTCTAGCTCCAGCACCTCGTCCGAAACCGAGGCTGCGCTCTCCACCACTGGGGCGCAGGCCAGTAGTGGGCAAGGTGTTCCAGAGGTAGTGGCCACCACACCTCGTGAAAGCCCTGAGCCAGCAACACAAGCGACGCCTGCTGTGGCTCTTGCTGGCGTCTCAGGCCCGGAAGGGAACGCAGCAGGCGGGGCCATGAGCCCCACTAGCCCTGCGGGCAACCAGGGCGTTGAGGAGGCCGAGCCCGAGCCTGCAGGCTGTGCTGAGGCACCCACTCCGGTGCCGGTCTTTGAGCAGGTAGGGGCCAGCACGCCCTGCGAGGCGCCACCCGAACCTGAGGGAGAGCGGCAGGGGGAGCCGCGCCTGTGCAGGCTGGACGTCTCCTGCCAGGTCGGCTCGCACCTTGTGGTCCTTCGCATGGCAACGAATGCCACCCAGACCGTTGGTGCCGTGGTCTCTAGGGCGCGTGAGAGGGCCGATGCGCCAAGGCTGGAGCACGCCTCGCTCCACGCTGCTCCAGGTGTAGCGTTGGCGCACGCAGCCACCTTGGGCTCAGTGCTGCCAGCTGGTGTGCAAACTCTCCTGCTGCGTGAGGGCACCGGCGGGGCCACTGTTTCTGGCGGTGGCAGTGAGAGGCGGGCGCTGCCCAGTCTTTTCTCGCCAGACCAGCTCTGGTGCTACTGCTGTGGCATCGGTGTCGCAGAGCCGCTTCTCATGCAGGCCCATGCCATGACTGATCGGCACGTCTGGAACGCCAGAGTTTACGTCAGAAGGCACAGGGAGGGCCACCCTGCCCCCTGACCTGGTTGTGGCCTCCACACCAGCGCTTTGGGGCGAGCCTAGGCTGCTGTAGCGACCCTCTCGCCTGAGCGCTGGTTGTGGCCTCCACACCCCCTACCCAAGTGGTCCCCACTCCGCGTAGGCGTAGGCCACGTAGAGTAGGCAGCTCCGTAGCGGTGCAGTCTTTCGCTCAGCCACAGAGCTGTGCGCGCCGCGACCTTTTGTCGCGAAGCCGGCGGAAACCGCTGAAGGGGCCTGAAACCAGGCCCAATTAAGTGCACGCGACCTTGGCCTACGGGCCCGTGGACTTCAGTTCGCAGGCGAAGAAAAGTTTGCTCTTGGCTCAAGATTTCGGCTCG